GCAGCTGGCAGGCCGAGCAGCAGCTTCCCCAGCCGAGCTCCACGCCGGCCGCGCCTCCGCCTCCGCTCGTGCCGCCCTGCGCCCGCTCCCCCACGCCTCACGCGCTAGCAAACGCCGGGGGCCGCTCCCCTCTTGGGCCCCCAGGAGGGCTCCGCGCCCCGCCGCCCGCGCTGACTCCCCATATCCCGGCTCCTCCGCTCGCCTCGCAGTCGCTCAGCCTGGCTTCGCTTCCTGCCGCCGCCGCTCCGGGGAGGGGGGAAGAGGAAGCAGAAGGGGAGGGGGAGGAGAGCTCAGCAAGTCCAGCTCCGATTCCGCACTGAGGTGGCGGACGGCGACCCGGACTGCCCAGTCGCTGGAACCGCTCCAGCCCCAGCTCCTTCACCCCAGACCCGCCGGATCCCAGCGGACCGCGGGAACACGGCCACTCCCTGCCTCCCTGCCCCCACTGTCCTCTTCATCCGTCTCCACGGTCCCTCGTCTGCTTAACGGGTCTTGTAAGGAGATTATTCCAGGAAAAGCAGTTAAATCTCTAGAACTCGGGCTATCCGCTCCCCAGGAAAAGACTTCCAAGAGCAATTCAAGAAAATACGCTGAGGACCTCAGCTGAGAACGGGTATCTGGGCGGCGGCTCCACGTTCAAAGAAACAAACGCAAGGGAGGCTGGAGTTACTGCTGAGGGGGTTTATTTCCCTGACCCCAACATCTCCCCTGGATTCTCCTAAACACCGCAGAAAGTGTTCAACTCCTAGGGCAGAGGTGGTGGGTGGGGTGGCAAGTGCTGTCTTCTTTCGCGGAGCAAGCCTAAAACTATCATCCTGGGATCCAACGCTCAATTCTGCGCGTAGCCAAGTGGCCCTTTCAGTGTGTGTCTTGGCAAATAACCAATATTTCAGGTTGTAACGTTCTCTCTTTGGAAAATTGAAGCTGCAGGCTAAGCTCTGACCCCTTTTGATCATAGTGGGGAGAAATCTGGTAAAATTTTAAAGAGATTCTTCCCTCAAGCTTTTCCTCATTTTACTTCGAATCTTTTTCATTTATCAGCCAAGACATTTTCTTTGTTCTTCCAAGAGGGATTTAAATTTCTTTTCTTTAATGGAGGACAATGTCTTCAAGAGCCTGAAAAACCATTACATCGAGAGAGAGAGTTACTCTTGATTTCTCAAGCCTGGCTGGAATTTGGACTCCATTAATGCTTTGCCGTGAAAAGTCTGCTGTTATTAAGCAAAACGTGGGAGGCTGGGATTTATCTTAAACCAGCCAGCAATTCCAGTGGCTGCAGCTCTTCCTCCATAAATCTAAGGCTCCTTTACACCTCTGGGTCTCTCTTCCCCTAAGACTCCCCCATCTATTGCTGCAGAGGCAACAAAAAGATAACCAGTTGCCTTAGTGAACAAGAAGGATCAGAGGAAGCATTTCTGTGCTGTGTCATTGCCTCTGATTCTCTGTTCTGAACATCCATTCTTCCCAGGCCCTCTCACTGCTTCCACAAGAGTTGAAAATTCATTGCCCCACTTGCAAAAAGCACTCACTAAAATGTCCCCTCTCTTCCTCTTCTCTCAGTGTCCTCTCACCCTGAGATCATCCTCTGTGGGTCATGAACTGGAACAAAACTAGAATGAGACCTGGCCTTTGGCATGCTCCTCTTCTTAGGGGATAATTGAAGGGCCGAAGGCACCCAGATTTTAAAGGCCTGGACTAGCACATCTCTTCCTGCCACCCACCAAATGCACTCACTGACCACTCCACACCCTAACCAATTTTATTCCAGAGAAGCTCCCAGCTTCCTCCTATGCCTGCTGCTTCTTATTTTGTCCTCTTTGTTCCCACAAGGGTGCAGAGTGGGAAGCAGTTCCCATCACATTCTATTCCTGTCTCCTTTCTTAGGCCTCTGGCTTCTCCCTCTCTGTCTGCCTCTTCCCAAAATGCCCCTCCAGTCTCTGTTTGCTGTGGTAATTTGATCTCAGAAAGCCTTAAACTCTCAAGTGCATGAATTGGAGGCCTGGCCTATGTCTTAGCCCATTATTTATTTCTGAAAATAAATGGCTTATAAGTGGAATCAAGTTATACGTTGTCAGGAAGAGTGACCTTTTCTTCCCTCATCTCCTCCCGGGCTTGCACAGTCGCTGCCACCTCTGCCCACAGCTCAGAAACCTGGTCACTGGGTACTGACCGTGTGCAGACCTGTGCCCCTGAAAAGATCACAGGCACTTAAGGAAGAGATTAAATCGCAGAGGCTTGGTAATGTTTCTAATGGAAGCCTCCAACAGTCATATCTCAGGAGAAAAATCAGGGCTCCTCTTTTAGCAATCTTGTCATCTTCCAGCAAGGACACCTGCCAGGTTGTCCATTTTGATGTGTCAGGATCATAAGCTTCAACTTGTTCTTATTCCCTCCGTGGCTGAGAAGGCAAACATAGAACCAGCACAAATCAGCCACCTTCTCAGAGAGGTCCTAAAGAGATGGTACACTCTGTGTATGGCACTACAGTGATTTAGTTCCTCCTACTATTGCCTATGTCTCTTGCCAACCTTACTAGTTGGTGGAATGGGGTCGCTTAGACTGCTGGCAAGTGCCCTGTCTACGAACATTAATGCTGGTACCTCGACCACACTACTATGCATTCCTTTTCTTGGACCTTCAAGAACCCCCTACTGAAAAGCAGAACAGCACAGTGATTAGGAACACAGACCACGATACCAGTCACACCCCTGCCAATGAATAACTGTGTGGCCTCGGTCGTGTTACTTAAACTAAGCTTCAATTTATCCATTTTAATTGGGGACAACAAATTTAAGTAAACTCACAGACTCACTATGATCACATGAGATGATGTATATAAAACAATCTGAAGGAGATTAAGACGTACAAACTTCCAGTTACAAAACAAATGAGTCATGGGGATGAAACATACAGTATGGGGAAAATAGTCAATAATGATGTAATATCTTTGTATTATGACAAGGTAACTAGCCTTATCGTGGTGATCGTTTAGTAATGTTTAGAAACATTGACTCACTAGGTTGTGTACCAGGAACTAACAGTGTTATAAGTCAGTTATACTTCAAAAACAAACACACTCACAGAAAAAGAGATCAGATTTGTAGTTACCAGAGACAGAGGGCTGGGGGGAGAGGGAGCTGGACAAAGGGGGTCAAAAGGTACAGACTTTCAGTTATAAGATAAATAAGTACTAGGAATATAATGTACAACATGATAAATATAATTAAGACTGTTGTATGTTATATATGAAAGCTGTTAAGAGAATAAATCCTAAGAGTTCTCATCCTAAAGAAAAAATTTTTTTCCTTTATTTTGCATCTATATGAGATGATGAATGTCCCGTTAAACTTACTGTGGTAATCATTTCATGATGCATGAAGTCAGATCATCATGTTGTACAACTTAAACCTGTACAATGCTGTATGTCAATGATATCTCAATAAAACTGGAAGAAAAAAACAATCTGCAAAGTGACTGACAAGTACAGTATTATTATTATTAAAATGCAATCATTTATTATCATCAGATAACACCTTACGTTGACAGTCTGCACACAGCACGGCCCTTTAAGGAATCAAACACAGATACACAGCGATGTGTAACAGACAGGAAGTCAATGATGACGGGAAAGTGCACTAAAGTTAAGCTTTCCCAATTATTTCTAGAGGTTATCCTACATTTTGAAAACAAAAACCAGTCCCTTTCTACATCACCAAGGAAAAGGAACTTCAGTTATAAGAACTCCGTCAAGGTATTTATTTCCTCACAAGAGATTCACCTTTTCAGGATATGTGAAAATGCTCTAGCAACAGAGTACAGAGCGTTCCCAAACACGCTGTCATCTCTAGTGCCCAATAAAGAGTTTGGCACAGTGATGCTCAATTAAAGTTCCTTGAACAGAACTAAATTTACAACTTTCCTTGTTCAGTTCTCTCAAATAGAAATAGCTTCATCTTTCCTCTCCGCTTTTCTAATATTTCTACCTATATTCCAAGGTCCATCTTAAAACCTACCAGGATTGCCATGAGACATTGTCTATTCTAAACAGAGTGGTCTTTTTTTCCTCTTTCACAGTCTACATATCTCTGAATGCTGACATGTGTCACTCTTTAATTCATCCAAATGCTTTAATATTATTTCTTGACCTTAATTATAAGCAACTCGCCAGCAAAAGCCATGTCATCTATATATGTGTAGTCTTCACAGTGCAGGAAATCTTATAGACAATAAATAAGTGACAATTGTTTCCTTCTCTTCAGATCCTTTTTTAGTAAATTCAAGAAGAGCTGCTACTTGCCCATTTTTTACCCCATGTCTAATGGCGAGAGGGCTCAAGAGCCTGCAATGATTTCACTTCCTCTTAAGTTTGAAATACAAAATATTTCAAACCTGGAGAACTGAACCCTACTAATAAAGTTGCTAGACTCTAAGAAAGGCTCTGCCCAGAAGTATTTTTATCACTCTTTGTATTTTATATTATAAATTATAAAATAAAGGTATTCCTTGCTCACAACTAACAAAGAAAGTGACAAGACGTGAGAAGCACCACAAAAAGACACGGTTTTGTTTACCCCCATGTTAGGCAAGAACTTTGAAATAGCATCCCTTAACTGTATCTATAAAATGCATCTATCATGAGATCATTGGGCACAGGAGCAAAACCAATCAAAACACAACTGAATTAAGCCTGTAAGAAAAATACTGGTACTCAGTGAACCCTCCTAATTCACAGAAATTTTCCTTTCACTATTATTAGTGTCATTACAAATCATTTTACTTTGGGGAACCAAACAATCTGGAGTCTTGTGGTCACAGGGGAAGGGGACATGCTCATTAGTTTGATCAAGCTTTGGGGTGACCATTGTGTAAGTATCTGCCAGCTAGGGAAGGCTCTGGTTTTCATTGTTCAGTTGTATATTTGCGCAGTTGTATATATTCCACAAACTGAGCACATGATATATAATTTAAAAACAAAGACAAATGAGCATCCCAATGTTTAGTGTGGTCCAAGATAGTTCAAAAATTCTATCTTGTTACAAATGAACTGTACTTCTGATCTTTATGCATCTTCAGAAGGAATATGCCTACTGATACGATTAGCAGCAGACTTTACAGGTACAACATCCACTGGATGGAGAGATAACAAAATTTTTCACATAACATGATGGCTGAATTTTTTTCAGTTTCTTTCCTCCAGAGAGAATATATCAGCTTTTAGATCGCCTAAATTTTTAGTTTTGAGAAATGAATATACTGCTGATCCTTGACTGAGGCTTCTGAAAATTGCTTACAATAAACAAAGGAACTCAAACTATCTTTGGACAAGTAACAATAAAAAGGAAAATATGTTAAAGGCTTGGGGTAGATTGTGTAATATTCACAGATAAAATCA